GTCAAATGGTGGCTCCATTCCCGGCTTTCCAAGAAATCTCCATACTGCTTTCCAAATTGGCCGCACCAATCTGCAGTCCCACCAGCAATGTACAAGTGTACCCTTTTCCCCACATCCTCGCCAGCACTTGTTGTTGTTTGACTTCATAATGGCTGCCAATCTTACTGGAGTGAGATGGTATCTTAGGGTGGTTTTGATTTGCATTTCTCTGACAGCTAGAGATGTTGAGCATTTTTTCATGTACTTGTTGATTGACTGTATGTCCTCCTCTGAGAAGTGTCTGTTCAGGTCCTTGGCCCATTTGTTGATTGGGTTGTTTGTTCTCTTATTGTCTAATTTTTTGAGTTCTTTGTATACTCTGGATATTAGGACTCTATCTGAAGTGTGAGGAGTAAAGTGAAAGCCATGTTTTAACATCTTCTTGGTCAATCACTTCACCTAGCATTTCACCAAAATAAGCCTAGAAATACAAATATATCACTTTACACTGAAAATGGTAGGAAAATTTTTTGGTATATAGTAAGACCTATTTTTCCCTCTGAGACTTATTTTGTCAAACTGCATTTCTCTCTCTTTATGCATGTGTATGTATGTACACACACACATACACACACACACACACACACACACACACACCCCTTCCCAATCCCACCCCAGAAAAAGTAAGAAAACAATTCTTTCAAGGTCAAAACTTTAGTTCAACAAGACTTATAGTCCCACATTGTATAAAACATAGAAATAGAAATTACTAAAACAATAAGAAATTTCTTAGGTTGAACCATATGCAACTGTCAATATTTGACTGTTTTGACATACAATAATGGCAATTTCCCATGATATGACATAATATATTCCTGAATTCTGAAAAACTGAGGCACCTAAATATGAACAAGACTTGATTCAAGGGGACTTAAAAATTGGAACAAAATGTTTACAGCTTAAACTTTAAATGAAAAAAAAAAACCCTGAATATTATCTTTTTCTATCAGTTTGAATTCCAGTTGCAAAGACTCTAAAAACACTACATTTAAAAATAAAGTTAAATGCACTCATTTGACAACTGATATTAGGTTTCTAATAAACCTAAATTCACCCTTGAGGTGTCTGTGAAACTTTTAAAGCTGATGTTTGCATATATTGTGTGCAAGAATATGATTTTAAAATATACCAAATTTTTACAAATTCTTAATTCTAATTAACTCTAGTACTTAAAAATTATTTATGTGTATATTTGAATGTATATATGCATAAGCATATATTCATGTTTGTAACATATTTTTATAAGTAAAACATATTTGGTTAATTGTTATACATTATGCTATTTCAAGTGATTAAGATTTTACTTGTTTTCCAAAAGCAATGTAGTTCAGCCATCTAGTGGTAAAGTATAAAGCAATACTTTCTCTGTATTTTATTACACTATTAAAAACAACATAACAGTTTGGAGGAGAAATATAAGTTGTTTAAATTTACTGTTTCTTTTCCTTTGGAGAGCTCACAAAGCCCAATCAATAACTCAGGAGCATTTTCTTACTGGATCTTTAACTGTTTAAAAATTAACATGGCCAAGTATTAATTTTTAACTTAATTTATTTTTATTATATTTTAATGAAACATGTAATTATAAAACATCCTACCAAAAATTCAATTACCCTGACAAATAAGTAGATTCAGCCCTACCTACACTTGCCAACACAAGTCGTAAGCCTGCCGGGTATGTGGTCTGGTTGGAATGGGGCTTGATATATAAAAGGCACCAAGCAATGTAGAAGGCAGTACCATAGGTGCTGTGAGAGCAGAGGCAAAGGAATGCTGAAACCTGACTACAGCTTCTTGGAGATGTTTTCTGGGTTAAACTGTAGAAGATTAAAGGATTCACCATAGGGACAGTGAGGTATTCAGACATAATGATCTATGTATACAAAGATAAAGGAAAAAGAACATGGCACATTAAGAGACTTTCAAGTAATCTGCCATGGTTACAACAAATTCTACATATGGAAACATGGAGAAACGGCCACAGAAGGGTAGGGAATCTATGTTGTTTAGGGCAAGCATGACATTAGCCTCTTCCCACCTTCTATGCTGTGTGTCCTCTCTCAAGTCTTCATGTCTGTTTGTGCATAGGATCATCATCTCCACGCCAGATCCCTCTTTGGAACTCCAAGCCCACCCAGTCAAACAAACAACTGAGGTCCAGCAGATACTTCTAACCCACATATCTAAAGACAGAATCATCATCTTTGAAAGTTTGACTCATTTTCTTCTCCTCTGTATCTTAATGACTAGAGATATAAACCTTCAAATAAGCAAGGTGAAAACCTCAAAGTCATTCCTTTATTTCTACTCCCCTAATTAGAAAGTAGGATCCTGTACAGCCTATCTCCTTACTACATCTTGTAAACTCCTACCTTCTCTATCTCCTCTGGGACTCCTGAGTTTAGCCACATATCTTTATCACCTTTTATCAGGAAGATTCTAATAGTCTCCCAACTCCTAACCTTTATCTAATGCATTTCCAATATGACACTGGAAATAAGGGACTAGAGAAGATGCAAGTGATCCTAGGTAGAGACCACGTATGGGACAAAGTCCCATGTATGTGGCAAATGAGGTTATGACAATTGTGAGCTGGGTGTGGTGGCACACACCTGTAATCCCAGAGGCTGAAGCAAGAGGATCCCAAGTTCAAGGCCAGCCTGGGGAACTTAGTGACACCCTGACTCAATAAATAAATAAAGTAAAATAAAAAGAGTTGGGACTATAGCTCAGTGGTAGAGCATTCCTGGCTTCAATTCCCAACACCAAAAAAACAGAAACAAAAACCGAATGTGCTTGAGAATGTAAGTAGTTTCTGTAGTACAAAGAAGAGGACCAAATATAGAACCTTTAGCAATCTCAATATTCATTAGATGAGCAAATTAATTCAGGAAACCAGGGAAAACCAGGGAGGAGAGGGGTAGTAAGAAATCCAAGAGAGGAAAGGATTTTGAGAAAGGGTGATTCACAAAGTGCAACATATGAAGAATGGCAATGGCAATGTGGCTAATGAAAGAATTTTGCTGGATGCAGCAATCTGAAGTTTCTGGTTGACCTTATCAAAAACAGGATGGTGAACCGGGCACAGTGACATATGCCTGTATGTCCCAACAACTAAGGAGCCTGAGGCAGGAAGATTCCAAGTTTGGGGCCAGCCTGAGCAAGGCTCTAAGCAACTTAATGAGACCCTGTCTCAAAATAAACAATAAAAAGGGCTGGGAATGTGACTCAGTGGTTAAGCGCTCCTGGGTTCCATTTCCGGAACCAAAAAACAAAACAACAAAACCAGAATGATGGTATATTAGAATTGTAAAAAAAATAATAATAATAAAACCAACAACAACAAAAAAGAAAAATGAAAAAAACAAGGAAACAGAAAAATATTGGATAATCTAAGGAAGCAGTACTGCTGTGAAGGGAGGGAGGGAGGGAGGAAAGAGAAGGAACTGTAAGTGGTAGGAGGGATCTCTTTTTGTTTTATAGCATGCAAAGACTCGAAGATGTTAAGGAGCTCCAATAAGGATGTGCTGAAGATGGGAGAGAGAATCAAAGTCATGTGAGGCAGAGGGGGATGAATCCTGTACACAGCAGTAAGACTACCTTGGAGAAAGAGCAGGAGAGCTCACTCTCTGACATAGTGGTATGGGTAATCACCATGCCAGATGACTTTAAAGGTAGAGGGGAGAGGAGACAAAAAAAATTATGTAATGTGTTTTCCTCATTTTTGAAACGACGCAAAGGGCATACTCATGGTGAAGAAGCAGAGGCAGCATGAAAGGGATGGATGTCAAGTGGTAAAAGAAGCCAGTCAACTGCAGCTGCCACACTGAGTTAAAATGTTCATCATCATTAGATGAAGAAAAACCAACCAGTTACCACTCTATCTTCCAGTCATCTACTCTCATTTCGAATTCTGAACCTTGAAACTCGTTTGTCACGTACATTTCAGAAGTCAATTATACTGAAATGACAATGAAAATGAAGATACTGCCTCCTTTTAAAGGAGATTGTGAAATACAAGCTTCATTCTCTCTCCTCCAAAATTTCCATTTCTCCTTGTCCTTTGGAGGGAAGAGCACACCAGAATCAACCAGGTCACTGTAATCCTGCATCTTAGTCAAGAGAACTCAGTAAAATAAAATAGTTGTTTTCAATGAAGTTGGCATCAATTACTGCCCGAATAACGTGTCCTCACAAAGCTTTTAGAAGCCAAAATAAATATGATGGCGTTCCAGAAACAAAAGAATATTTAATGAAGCAAAACTATCAGCTTAAAAATGTCTCAATAATCAAGAAAAGAGTTATTATCCACAGGCTATAGTGAAGTATTTTGTTGTTGCTATTTTTTAAAAATGTTTTTTAGTTGTAGATGGACAAAATACCTTTATTTTATTTTTTAATTTTTATATGGTGCTGAGGATTGAATCCAGTGCCTCACATGTGCCAGGCAAGCACTTTACCACTCAGCCACACCCCTAGCCCCTGTTGTTGCTATTTTTTAAACTGAAAGTTTGTTTGCTGTGGTAGTCTAAGCTGGTTTTCATTTTAGACAAATTAAAATGAATAGTCTTATTTATATTACAAATATGATGTAAGGATATAAAGCAAGAATTTCTAACACACTATCCATAAATCTAACCCTAAATTTAACAATCTAACATCATATTTTTCAATATTTACATGTATTGTTTTCTCTAAATAACTATGAATTTTTAAATATACCACAGACCATATATAGATTACTTAAGTATATATAACCTGATATTAACAAACTTAAATAAGGAATAGCAGGTAAGTGCTTAATATATTTCAAGTGAGTAAATAAATGAATGAAGGGAATAAAATGTGGGTCTTTTAACCATACAATCAGTTACAAGATATAAATCAGAAGCAGTGTAACAAAGAATTTTTCCTTCTTCAAAGTTTATTTTGAAAAAAATTACCCAAGAAAAACATGCATTGTCAAAAGGTATCTGCACATATGAATGTGAGCCAAGAAGCTGATGATCAACAGGCTCACACAGTGTCCTTAAAGATGCAAGAGTGGGTGGTCAGCATACAAGTAGATGGTGCAGACACAAAAGCTGGCCTAGATGACTGCCCAAAGGAAAAAGAGAAGCAAGCTAGTGAAACAAATTGCAATTAGGAGCTGCAAATTCAAATCCCTGGGCAAACTCACAAAGATATATAAGTCTGGAGATGTCAAGATTTCAATCGATGAGATACCATTTTTAAATGTTATAGTCTTCAAATGTCATCTTATTTACTCATTTACCAAAGTCCTAAAAATCACATAACATGAAATGTTTCTACTCATTAAAATTTAAATGTCAATCGCAGTATCTAAATCAACTTATATAATGATTAAATGTGAATGCTGTATATATGACATATAATTTTGGTTGTATTCCCAAATTCACATTTGATTATCACAAGATAAATAATACTACAAGACTCTCCAGCTTCCCAACTTTGATATTCTATTAAAATCATAATATATGACAAAAAACAATAGCGAATAATCTCAGATAAAAATAAACTTACCAAGTACTGCCAGATTAATGCCTCAATCTCTAAAAGCAAAAGTACATAAAAGTCACTCTCATCCAGCTACTCCTCTCCATTTCCACTAACCCATCTAATCTAAGACATCATTTTCTTATCCTGACCATTGACTCCCTCATTATGTTCTCCATAATGCAGTCTGGAGTTATCTTTTTTGAAACACTCATCTAATTAGGTCACTCTTCTACAAAACTCCTTCAAGTTTTGGCTTCTTGTTGCCTTTGTAAAAGATCTGCCTCTATGACAGGGCCAATAAAACTACACAATCCAGCTCTTATACTCAATGCACACAGTCCACATCTGCTGCCCCCCATAGCTTGGAGGCAAGCATCAAAGGGAGATAATACATAGAATAATGCCATACCAAATGCTAACACATGCAACTATATCTACCTGTGCGTGTGTTGGGGGGTGGGGCAGGAACTATAGATAAAAAGCCTGAGTCCTAATCCTGATTCTTTGTGTAATTCAAATTCCTTATCTCAATTTCTTTACCTCTAAAGAAAGGGGACTTAAAAAGACCTCTATTTGAATCCTCAAGCTCTGATTCCATAACTTTCAATACTTACTGTACATGGAGATTTCAGATTCAAAGGTTCTACCTCAAACCTCCACAAAGATTTGTTACATCAACATTAACTTCAACTTTTTCTTTTTAATTCAGCATCTGCAGTAGGCATTTGGGCTCTTTTGAAAAATAACTATTTCACCAAAATCTAGATACCCTTTTGACAGCTGTCCTTTGATTCACCTTTGTTAAAAGCAACAGTGCTATGTACTTCACTATTCAAATACCACACTGTTTTGAAAGCTCCATCTCAGACTCAACTTATTTATTCTACTAAAGAAGCCTTTGAATAGGTCAGTGTTCTGTTAATACTGGCGTGGAAATAATTTAGAGATTATAATCCTAAAAATTCAGAGTCAGTTCAGTAAAGACAGAATGTCTATTTGATTTCCTGTCTCACATACTGGGAAGAAGCATAAGTAAGTATATAGAAATGGCTTACAATATTCTGAAATTTCACAGTGAGAAAAACAGACACAAGCTATCAATTATGAAAAAAAAATTCTTAATTAAAAAATTTTTAAGTCACCAAGTAATTTGTGTTGAATTTACTAATAATATCATCTACACCTTCAAATTCAAAACCAAATGTATAATTACCCTCTAATGCCCTGCCTAGCAAAATAAACTTTACTGACTTAACGTCTACTGCATTTATCCATGGATTATGTACCTGTCCTATAACAAAGAAAAATTTATGACATGTGAAATAAGTTAAAAATTCAAACACTTAGAAAAAATATGTGAAAAATGGTCAATTCCCATCACTTAAATGTTTAGTATGTTTTAGTGATAAAAAAAAACACAAAAAAAATTGGCTCCATAGAATATGTTTTAACTTATAAATCAGTGTCATGCAATATTTATTTATTGAAAATGTTTCTTAGGCTAGATCCTTATTATTCTTTCATTTTGATTTGCTTATGGAAATAACTGCCTATAAAATCAATCACTCAAAATATAGTTTAAAAAAGTCAGTATACTAAAGTATATCTCAGTATTAAACATTACTTGGCTCAAATTGCTTCTTTCCATAAAGACAAATGAGAAAAACAAAAAATTCCTCAAAAAACCATTTTAGTTATTAATGAGTCTAGTATATGAACTATTCAATTTCCTTTTTCTTCCCTAACAAAAAACCAATACAATGAAAAAATACATATAACACATTAATACTACATATAACACATTAATATTTCTATCAATTAAATGTCCACATTTTCTAAGTACAATGAAAATCAATATTCACAACAATGATCGCAAGCAAAAAATGTAAATTAAGTATAATTGTAGGGTTACTGTTACTGTTATCTATAACTATATTCATATCCACCAAAGAGGAGGCAAACTTTGAATGGTGTGTTCTGTAAGTTGGAATAAAAACAAATGGCTACTTTCTTTTTCAAAAAATTATTAAAAATGTTATATTTTTGGAATATAATATAATTCTATAACCCAAAGAGAGTTCATTCAGTCTTTTTGAGTAAGGCAACTCCAATTAGTTATTTATTTATGTCACATAGCTTCAGAGAAATTCCTTCTCCTCCCCTTAAGCTGAACCTGAGAGGATAAGGCAAGATCAAGTCTATCTAGTAATCTAAAATCAACACTTGATGCCATCTACTCAAAAAGTACACAGTCAACATTTTTCTTTATCTTAGATAATGTTTTATTTGATTGATTCCTTTAATCACATACTAGACTCAAATCTCAGATTACCTACATTTCCTTATCCTATCCCAGGGACTCTCTTTGCCTCATATTCTGCCCACCACACAAAATACAAAAGTTTTTTCTTATTGGTACTAACTGAAAAAACATGATAAACAAGTCAGGACATGGAACATGTGGCTGGTAAGTGTGCTCATGTTAACCGATGGGGAAGAAGAGGACATCCCTCTCTGCTGTGCCGCTCCCAGAAGTACGTAGGGGAAAACATCTGTTTGATACAGTGCACTGTGGAAAAGCTAGACTGCATACCAAATTAAAATAATTACCAAACAAACACAAAACTCTAGGTAATTGTCCACTGTTCTCAGATAACCATCACAGAAATGTTAAAAGAAGTTGAAAAGGTACAAAAAGTTCTACTTGATTTGTTTACAAATAAAAATTTTCAGCTCAGCCACACAATTATTGATAAAGATGAAACAGTATCTAAATAAGACTGCTAAAAAACTAAAAATAATAAGTTTAAAATGAAAAAGGTTATTTTTATATTTTATTAAGGGTGAGAAATGTAAATCTGATTTTTAGATCACTTGGAATAATTTAAAGAAAGGTATAGAATACTGAGTGGATTATGTAACATGATAAATAAATAATTATTAGGTAAGAAATGAAGAGAAAATAATCTCAAGAATAAACCATAAATTTATAACAGCAAGACTTCTAATAAAATGACAAAGAATCTACTTTAATATCTTAAAGTGAAGCTTCTGGATCTGTCATTAAACAATGATATCACCAATGTCTTTATTAAGGGGTAATATAAGACCAGAGAAAGTTTTTCATTTTGAAAAGCAGCATTTCTTTTTTAACCATTGATTGCTATTTTTTTTTTAGAATTTCATAGCAAAGAAGTATTGAACTCAGAAAAGATGATGTTGATAAGCCAGATATCTTGTGGTGCATTCTTTTAACCATATCTTACCTTTCTGAACAAATTCATTTAGAGACATTTAATAGTAAGCAATTATCAACTGTCCTCCATAACACAACACTTTGTAGAGTAAGAGGGAGCATTTAAAGAGCAAGAGGGATAATTTTAATCCATTATAACATCTCAAACATATAGTTTCCATGTTCTATAACTTTGCTGACATATTTAAACACATTCCTTTTCTTACGTGTCAATCTGATTAAACCTATAACAGGTGCATTCATTTATCCTGAGAATATTTTAACACCATGGTCCAACGGAATCTTTTTTCCTTGGGTTACCTCTCCACCACTGGCAACAGTTTCCAAAAAGTTTTACAGAGGACAGTCAATGCCATTAGACTAAGAGCACTTGTTTGAAAAAGTTTCCTTCTAACTACGTGCAGAACAGCGGATTCATTCTCCATCCTGTGTATTTGCCAATGGGATGGGGTAAAGGAGCTCAGAGTCATCAGGGACAAATACCACTGGCTTGCCACTCCTGGTTTACTTTCTGCTATCACACCCTTCCCTTAAGGACTATATTAATGGTGTGAAGTCTAAAAAACAGTTGTCCCCAAGTCTGGAGTGGATTACAAATAAACTCTAAGAGTCCATTTACTAGTTTATTGGAAGTCAAGGTTAATTTAAATACACCCAAATATTTGAGTTCTAAACTTAGAATTATTTTAAAAATAATATAGAAAACCAGGAAAAACAAATTCAATAAATATATTTAGCAGCTCAGTATATGTGAATGAAAATTGATGTTCTCCTTTAAGTTTATATTTAATATTCAATTTCATACTTTCTATTAAAATAAGAATTCCAGTTACATAAAATCCCAGGAAATCCAAATTTCTAAATGGGAAATGGCTGATACAACTGATTATCCTTATTATAAAAATACAAATGTCCATATCTATTTGATAATAACAAAGATCATAATAAAAAGCTTCCAATCTGTTTGTTTTTCTCAAATTATAAAAAGGTTTAAGTACTTGTGAATATTTATAGAAGGTTATAAATATCTCACTAATTGTTCTAGATTAATATCTATTAGAGAAAATCAAGTGTTACTATAAATTCAGCAATGTTAAGATAAATGACACATTATTATTATTATCGTTGATGTTACTGGGGGTTAAATCCAGGGCTAAGTCCTCAGTCCAATTTTTATTTTGAAGACAAGGTCTCACTAAGTTGTTGAGACTGGAATTAAACTTGTGATCCTCCCACCTGAGATTCTAAAGTTGCTGGGATTACAGGGATGTACTAGTGCCCAGCTTAGTATTAATCTTTATTTGATTACAGTGAAAATGAATTTATCATAGTTAATTTTGTAAATAAATTACTTATTTTCTGGGCTTATAAAATGGTCACTTATCTTAAAAAATTATAAATCAAACACTCTAATATGTAGCACAGCAAAATGTTGAATTAACAGCAATAAAAGTTAATATACAGATGGTCCCAGACTTACAATGGTTAAACATTCAACTTCTTACTTTTGAAGGTCCAAAAGTAATATGCATTTAATAGAAACTCTACTTTGAATTTTGATCTTTCCCCCAGCTAGTGAAATGCAATACAATCCTCTCTTGTGATTCTGGGCAGTGGCAAAGAGCCACAGGTCCCAGTCAGCCACTCAGTACTCTACCATGTACTATGCAACTAAGCTATAATGCTCAGTGAGTTAGGTACATTTTTGACTTATGATATTTAAAATTACAATGGCATTATCAGGACATAATCCCACTGTAAGTCAAAGGCATATGCATATACAACAGAATATTTTTT